AGACTTTTTAAACCTTTGTTCTTCATCCGAAACTGTATTAAAAGCCACATTTTTGTACTATGAAAATTAAAAAATAACTTCAAAAAAAAAACAGCTACATTTTCGAGACTTATCCCTTTATGCAATCCTTTATTTAGTAATGGTATTACTTACATAAGTTTAGTGGTCGTTTAAATTTTTCTTAACCATGCATTCTTGCGCAGTTAAATCGACCACAAAACACTGCACTCCATTAACAAATAATTCAAGCAATTCTTCCTAAACTTCTCTAGTACTAAAGTTAGTCTAGAATATAATGCTCGTCAACTTCGTCAACGTTATAAGCAAAAGAAGAAGCTTGAGAACAATGTTTCTTACTTAAAAATTTTGTGCAAACATACACTTACAAAACGTACTTTTAGATAAGTAGCAGCAGTAAAGCTCCTTATGAAAGAATTCATCCAGGGAAGCACTGCCACATTAGCTATTTTTGCCCTCAAGCAGTAATGTGAGCATTAGTGTGTTTTGAAGAGTATGGTCTTACTCAGAGTGGTGGCGAGCGCGGGTTCAGCCGCGGGTGCGTCTATATCAAATGTACGTTGACGCTCGTTGGGTTCACAATGGCAGCGCGCGGAAGCAGATGCACGCGCGCCGCCGCCTCGCGGGTAGATCTACCGTCTTCTCAGTCTTCTCGGTCTTTCACATTGCTTGGTCTAGCGTCTAGCGTCTGTTTACGATGTCCCCGTGTGGATCTACCCGCTTGTAGCGGATTCGGCACTGTGAAAGGGAAGACGCCAAGACCCGCGCGCCCGCACCCGCCGCCGCGCCCGCGTCTGCACTCTGAATGAGACCTAAGGGTGCTGGTAAAATTACAGGCACATGGGACTTGTCAACTTATGTCTCAGGGTGACAGGCACAGTGGCAGTGTCCCTCAGATCTTTGCGATTAAAAGCTCTGAGTGGCTCTGTAACTGTTATGACCAGCATTCGTTGCTTAACACCAGGTACATGACTTGTTTGTCCCGTCACTTGATATTATTAAAACAAATGTATTTATACTGAAAAAATATAAATCACAAATTGCTTGAGGTTTTGGTTTTGCGAATGATTACGATAGATCTGACATACCAACGAACCGTGTTATGGGAATAGACGTAACGTCGAATTTATTCCAGAAATCGATTGGTCAATGGTACCTGCTCTAAAGCGGTTTCCGCGTGAATATTCCTTCATCCTTGTTGGTCACCACATAGTTGTTCACTATAGTACATCTCTCTAGGTCTACTTCATGTCTCTTGGTCTAAAACTCACAATATACCACACTTGAGTGCTAGGCTTTATCCAGATTTGTATTAAATTCCGCTGTATGTTGCGAGTTAAAACCAGAGAAACAAAAAGTTTGAAGCTTTCAAATGTAAAATGGATCCTCAGAGTTTAGGATTCTCTGCGGTTTCGTGAATGACACGAATATACAATAATCTTGTTTATATGACTGTCCTTATATAGAATTAACTATTTTAACCTTCTAAGGCCCCGTGTACATCAAAATGTACATAATTATAATTATTATGTGAAGTAATTCAGACCCAGATAATATTCTCAGTGTTCATTATAATGAAAATATAGCATTCAAAATAAACGTTATATTTTATAATATTCTATATGACCATAAAGAGTCCAGAAAAATCACACCAAAGTGTAATTACATTTAGTACATTGTGATGTAGAGTTAAGCGCCTTTTCCATTGTTGGTAGCTGGGTAGATTGTTGGGCTGCAAACTGGACGACAGCGGGCGAGGCGGCGGCGGCGGCGGCGGCGGCGCGGTGGCGACAGCGATGCGGGTGGCGGCTTGCGCGACTTGATCAAAACGCCTAATGCTGTTTTCGACGGCAGGGGCGAGTGCGGTGGTACATGCCATAGTGAATAGTCATACTGTCGACTTGTTGCTTACGACCTATTTTTCGATCAATCAAATTTAGAGATGTCGTTGTAGGAAATAATTGCAGCAATTTTAGAAACACCACTAATATGGAACTGCAAACATACTGACCATAAAAGCAGAAGAATTACTAATCACTATCATAGAGAAGACTATATAGAGATACTATTTGGTGTTTTTTTTTATGATACCAAGTGACGGGACGAAAAAGTCGTGCCCCTGGTGGTAAGCGACACGCCTGTCCATAGCAGTTGCAGTGCTGCTCAGAGCTTTAAATGGCTAAGATCTGAGGGGCAATCCCACTGCGTCCGTCACCCTGAGACATAAACACAGGCAAGTCCCATGTACCTGTAATTTCACCAGCACGCTTACCTTCAAAACCAGAACGCAGTAACCTTCATTTTACTGCTTGGCGGCAGAAATAGGTGGCAGTACTTCCCTTGACGAACTCTTTCACAAGGAATCCTGCTGCTTCTGAAAAGTTTGGATCTTAGGAAGTTTGTAATGAAAAGGCAAGATAGTCCAAATTATGATAATCGAAAGTCAATGCCCTATAGGGCATTGGCTGTACAAAACTAATAACTGGAAACTATAGAAAATGTAAGTGAAATTTTATACGAGGGAAAACGAGGATTATTATATTACTTGTAACATTAATGCGTCAACTTTTTTGTCTGTCCGTATGTTTGTTTCTACATCAATCATCAAGGTAATTATTATTCAATCTGCGACAAATGAAAGCGCTAAGTTTGTGTTACTACATGGAAAATGTGTTAGTGGTGCCCCACTGCTATGGGATATAGAGGGAATGTACTTTCAAAATTGTAGATAGGATATTTTGCTATATTATTTTATTTTGAAAATTGAAAATTAAAAATTAATCCTTACAAGCAGTGACCGGAATTGAGAGAGTTAATTTACCTTAAGTATGAACGTTTCCCTTTCGTTTATCAATGCGTATACAAATTTCTTTTTTAATGTTTATTTTCTAAACATAGTAAGATATCGGTTGTCTCGTTTATTTTTGAAATGGCTAAAGTATTTAAATACGTAAGTACCTGTTAGGAACGTAACAGAATTTTTGTAATAAAATTTAATACACCTTTCAAAGCAATAAGTAAACCCTCGTTTAGGGCACATTACGCATGTAGGTCGGAGGTTCTATTTTGAACCAATCAATTAACACCACATACAAGTTACTTCATCCCTGCCACATATTTAACGACCTTTTTGTATGAACTCAAAAAGGTCAAAAAGGACATTTATTTTGAATTGTACTTCCATAAGAAACTACCACTGTTTAGCGATTAATGGCACTACTGAAAACCAGTTATCTATTGCCAATATACAGGGCTCGTATTCAATTATAATCAGTTCCGAGAAGTCTTGGGATTTGTAGAAGGAAATGTCTACATTATTCTTTAGTTCAGCTAAATTAATTCTCTCAATTCCGATCACTGCTTTTAAGTATGTTACTTGAAATTATCTTAATTTAAAGAAATACCGTTCAATGAAACAACAATTCATTCAAAAAAATAAACAAGTTTGAGACAGCCAATGTGTCTACAATTTCAAATTCGCCTTCAATCTGAGTGGACTCTCACAGGTGTCTCAGGAGGCGGTGGCAAAACAGAAAGAAATAAAGTGGCCGTTTAAACCCAATACAAAGACCTGCAACAAGCATAATAGAGAAATTTATAAGATCTCCAACTGTGCAGTTGGTAAGAACGGTGGCCTTGGTGTGGCAACAGACGTTGGTTCGATTCCAGTCAGATATAAGGATTTTTTTTGTGTTGTTCGATGTTTTTATCAATAATAACTACGACTTTAATTCCGAAGCAACGTTCATTTGCAAAATATTTAATAATAATACCTCAATAATGGTAAAGGAAAGACTTATCCCATCTGATCCCCAAAACTGATCCACCTCTAATTTTAAATTGCAACTGATCCCCTCTATATTTTGCAACTCCCAACGGATCCCCTCACTGTATTTGTAAGTATAGACAAGAGAAAAAGAAGTTTTGAAATCAAAGTTAATACAGTTATATAAGTTAGTAAGGTTAATGTTGTTCATTTCTAATAAAGTAAATGAAATACAGCACAACTCTCAAACACATTTTCTTGTTGATTGTATCACAGTACCTACCAAAAATAAACTTGTGAGTACCAGGGCATCAGGTGGGAATAAAATATTAATACTTATTCTTGATCCCTTGCTATCCCCAATATACGATAGGAATAGAAAATAATATAAAATAAAACGGATCCCCAGGGGATCGGCTTTAGGGGATCAGATGGGAATAAGCCAAATGGAAAACATCATGAAACCTGTAGATTGAAAAATATTCCATATTTGCATAAACGCATAATAGTCTCTAACACGATTTGGGCCAGGATGGCGGACTACAGTCTAAATTTTTTCCGTCAGTGGAGACCCATCTCCAACAGTGGAATATATTATTGATAATGATGATGATGATCCTAAATAAGCTCTACAGGGAATCGATACGAGAATTTTGACCTAACATACACAGAAACTTATAAAGTTTACCTACGCTTTTCTGTCTTTTGAAACATAATAAATCTTCAAAGATAGATAGAGAAAGTTTTGTAATTACTCGTAGTATACAGATAAAAATCTAAAATCATATTCTATTTTGCGTGAAGAGAAATTTCTATCGTTATACATTTTTTCTTAAATTATTTATTCACAAACTTATTCCATTATTTACCTAACTGGTAAAGGTACATCATTAAAAATTCACGTTCTTTGTAAAAGAAAAAATGAGACTCGTAGCTGAACATGTCATAATAAATAATATTTACAGTAACGTAGTAACTTTTAACAGTCCAATTTCAATAAATATTAATGACAAAAGTATTACTGGAAATTGGAAAACATTTCAACAACATTTCTTTTTTAACCGTAAATGACAAGCGTCTCCGCTAACTTAAACTAAGCAAGATTTCAAAAACACTTCTCATATTATTTCCTCCAACCGGGTAACAGAATTCTAGATCATTTAAATAGCGAATCAGGAGCGCGCTCTTGACATTGATCCGTCGTAGATCAACGCGTGCGCAGCTGTTCGGAATTCAAATTTAATTCAGAAAAGTGATCAACAATTAACTGTTTGAAAAGTGAAATGAACAGATTGTTTTAAGTGTTTAGAAGATTTGTGCCATTTTCAAAGTAAGTAACTTATTAAAAAATGTGTTGTTTAACTGAATTTACAATAGGCTATTAACACATAGATAGATACATATATATATTTTAATATTATCAAGTGACAAGATGAACAAGTCGTGCGCCTGATGTTAAGCAACAAGCCTGTCCGTAAAAGTTGCAGAGCTTTAAATCGCAAAGATCTGAGGGGTACTGCCACTGCGCCTGTCACCTTGAGACGTAAATTGACAAGTCCCATGTGCCTGTAATTTCAAAACTGGAACGCAGTAAATGCTTACATTAATGCTTGGCGGCGGAAATAGGTAAGATGGCAGTACTTTGCTGGAGGAACTCTTTCACAAGGAGCTCTACTCCTGCTAAAATATACTAGACAGATAGATGGAAACTTTTTTTATAGTCCCACACTAAAGGGAAACCTTGTATCGCGGGTGAACTTTATTCATTTCCATGAACTTATTTACTACAATCAACTATTATGTAAAACCAATTTACAAATAATAAACAATATAAAACTTTACACAGATATCGAGTTCTTAGGTTTTCGCGATTATTACACATAGGAAATGAAACTATTTTTCCGGATTTAAATCGCGTATATTTGTTTTTTCAAACAAACCGACGTTTCGGGCCCTTTACAGGTCCCATGGTCACGGTTGACAGAGGTGGTATTGATATATGAATATTTCCTCTAATGAAAAATCCCAAACAGACATAAGACTGCAGTACTGATTAATATGTTTTAATTTATTCTAATTTCTATTATTAATTAATAATAAATTGAACTTAATAAAAATTCGTTCAATAAAACAATTTGTAAAACTTAATGTAGCGCAAATTGGAATGTTTTCTTTGCAAAATTAAAAATAAGGTATTTTATTAATAGCTATTGTAACTATAGTGAAAAAATAGGATTTGAAGACTGTATCACCTCCGTCAACCGTGACCATGGAACCTGTAAAGGGCCCGAAACGTCGGTTTGTTTGAAAAAACAAATATACGCGATTTAAATCCGGAAAAATAGTTTCATTTCCTAACTTTACATAGAACTAATTAAAGTAATTTTTTGGAAGTCATGGCAGTGAAAAGTCGTTGACTCAGCATAAATGTCGAGGTTACTCACGGCGCTGTTATTCAACCTGGTTCCAGAGAGGGAACATAAATCTAAATGCTGTGATTGGTTTCCTTTTACAGTAGGTTAAGGAGCATAAAGTAATGAGCACTATATAAATGTTAGACAACATCACAGCACTTGTGTTATGGAAATCAGAAACAACGACGGTACCACAAACACCCAGACCTGAGACAATATTGAAAAGTTAGCTTTCTACTTTAACGCAGCCAGGGATGGAACTCGGGACCTCAAGGATGGCGACAACATGGTAACCGGTGTGCAAATCACTTGACCACTGAGGTCTGACAAACTGATTTCATCGTATCTTCGGGTACTTTTGTGAAATTTCTGGAAAATTTTCACCGTTAAAATGGAGGTTCTAAATTCGACGGCTTATTTTGTTTGTTATGTTACGCGATTATTCTGATATTTATGAACCGATTTCGTTAATTCTTTTTTGGTTTGAAAGGTGGTAAAGGGGTGCTATAGGGTAAAGGTGGTACAATCAGCGCTTGCATTCAAATTTGAAGAAAGCATTCCACCTTTAACGGTGGAAAATTAAGGAATGAATCAGATTTATTGAATTTCACTCAATTTCCGCTAACCGATGTCCGTAAAACTTACAGAGACTTTTGAACTCTGTTTTGTCTTTACAAAGAAATTGTAATTATATTTATACAAATTAACATACCCAGATGTTAAGCAACTATGTCCAAAAAAACTTTGTTTGACTTTTGCATAGAATAGACCCAAATTCTAGTTTTCGGGACACACAAAATTAAATAATTTACCTATAATTTTAAAGTTTATTGAATATAACGATGTTTTACCATCATGATATTCAACTATTTTTTGCGAAATTACTACACTAGTTTGTTATAATTATTAATACAAATATCTAACGCTAAGAAAAATTCCTTCGATTCATCTGGAGTCGAACTAGCGCATTCAAGCATACCATGCCAGACGCTATCCCAACTGAGTTACGGAACGAACCGCCAGACTATACGAATTTTTCTAAATGTTGTGGATCTTTGTTTTGGTTTTTAACGACTTCTATAGTTTAATACCAGCGGCGAAAAGTACCTATAGTTTATAAAATTCCTTTGCTGCAGCTTCACGGGAATTGATGGAATATCAATGATGTAAGGATTGGGTGTTCCGGATTTTCAAATTGAGCAATCGAGATACGACGAGAGTGGAACTAAATTGTACTCTAATTTGCTCAAGATTCGAAAGGACTCAGGCATAAACCCGAGTTTAATTGATTCTAATTTGAATAATGCAAATTTTAGAACTTTAGGAATGTTAGTCTTAAGACAACTGCCGGAAATATCTTAACCATGGAAACTGATCGAAAACCAAACATCAGAGTTTCACGATTATATGAGCTCTGGGGTCAATCTATCAATTGGTAAACTTTTATGTACAATAATAAACAATCCTATACCACTGTTTTATGATACTAATGTCCATTTGCACCAAATTTAAGCCCGTCTTAAAATAATGATTGCAATGCAAAACACACTCTTTATACGTTGCGTTAAGAGTGTCTTATCAATTTAAGCGTTGGTTTAAGATGTACATACTTAAGGGTCGACACAAAATCAAACAACTTTGGTGGATTCAATTAACAAACAATGATTCAATCACTTTTGAAAAATAATATATAGCAAAAATTGAGAATATATACTGATTAGTATACGGTGTAAAAACACGATTCCTAAAAACTTTAACGATATAAAAAAAACCACAAACTTACGTCAAAATTTTGCAAGAAAACTGCTGTATTCAATAGGTATTTCACATACACCAATGATTTTTTTTTTATATCAATTGAACTAAATAGAACGCGTATAGTATACGATATACATTTTTCAAATAGCTGTAAGAATTTCGTTCGTAAGAAATTAAACTCTGAAATAAAACCAGTACCCCTGGCGCTCGACCCGCGCAATAGAACCGATTCGATACGAGAACATTTTGTATTCGAGCTGAGGTATTACCGACTTTTAAATTTAGTACAAGTGACGCGACGAACAAGTCGTGCGCCTGGTTGTAAGCGATACGCCTGTCAATAGCAGTTGCACGGAGGTGCAGTACCTGTAATGATACACGGAGCCCAGACTTACGATACGGTTAGTCCACCAGTTGAAAGTCGCTCGGCGAGCTATGGAACGAGCTATGCTCGGAGTTTCTTTGAAGGTCAAGGTACGGAACGAGGTTATCCAACACAGAACTAAGGTCGTCGACATAGCTGGTAGAATAATCAAGCTGAAGTGGCAGTGGTCTGGTCATATATGTCGAAGAACCGATAACCGACTGGGCAAGCGAGTTCTTGACTGAAGACCACGGCTCGGCAAACGTAGTGTAGGACGCCCTCTGGCCAGATGGAGTAACGATTTGCGAAGACCTGCTGGCAGCAGGTGGATGTAACGACCTGAGAACCGGGCAAAATGGCGCGAGGCCTATGCCAATAGTGGACTAAGATAGGCTGTTGATGATGATGACTGCCTGTAATTTCACCAGCACCCTTACTAATGCTCACATTACTGCTCGGCGACAGAAATAGGTAAGGAGGCAATACTTCCCTGGAGCTAGAGAAAGAAGAATTCTCTTTCACAGGGAGCTATACTGCTACCTATCCATAGTAATCCATGAAATAAATCTGTTTGTGTAAATGGCTTGGTTTCCACATCAACCAGGAACTTTCAAAAATGTCACGAAGTACACGAGATTACTTCCGAAATCTCTTAATTTTTTTTATCTCACTTTATATTATAACATATAACCTTTGGGAAACCCCTTTGAACCAGGTCAGAGAGGAAAAAAAGAGGGTAATGGTTACGCTTGATTGCGGAAACGGATATCGTGGCAGTAAATACTGTATCGCGGTGAAAAAGATCCTTAATGGTCTCTGTTGCGGAAGTTTTTTTTTGGATTTAAGTAAAAATGTTTATTTTTGGATTGTATTGTGGTGTGTTAATGAGTGCGGGAAAGGCAGTGCGTAAAAATGATAGGTCACTTCTAATTAAGCAAGATCTTAATAAAACAATTTTGATCGTATTTATTTTGAATAAATCATTACAGATCTATTTGAATATGATATAATAAAATTCCAATATTAATTTTAAAAAAAATATTTTTTTTAATAAATTTCAATATAAGCTAAAACAATTTCTCGTCCTATAAGCATAGCATTCTACAAATGAATTTTCAAGTGAAAAATAAGTCAGAACTCACGAAAAGGTCACGTCGATCCCTTTTATTAATTATGTATCTTCATACATAATAATAATAATAATAATAATAATAATAATAATAAATACCGCCTCTCCCATTTAAAAATTCAAAATTAGTCTTTTAGGCCTTGGGAGAGACGAGAGTTTAAAATAAACATAATAATAATAATAATAATAATAATAATAATAATAACAATATAATTTAATATTCATTAGTTTTTAAATCTCCTTACTACACTCTGATTGGGTTATACATCATACTAAATTTTGTTATAAGACTTTTTAATGTACATGTGGAATATGAAAATAAATAAGTAAATACAGGTACTAATCAAATTCAATAACATTTGATAGGCACGACCCATAAACTGATGTCTGAGGTCGTGATTTGTCAGTTTCTTTTTAAAAATATAATTTAGAAAAATTACATACACTAAAACTTTTCATATGAAAGGGCTAAAATATTATTTTATTAATTGTATAAATACAACATACATAGTATATAGCAAAATTAAATTAAATAGCAAAATGGCTGACCACTAATCTTGTAATAGGCTTTGGGACCCAGCTTTCGATGCAGAGCATAATAATAATCTGTGTGGGTCTATAATATGTCGCCAAAATATCCGATGTAAATATGAAACGCCTCCAAC